GCGGCGCCGCCACCGCGGCTGCCCTCACCCCTTTCCCGCGGGGGCTCTGGGATGGATCCCGCTCTCCCTGGTCCCGGGGCTGAGCCTGGTTTCCTGCAGAGCTCAGCAGGAGTTTTGCCGTCTCCTTTCTCCCCACAGCCGAGCCGGGGCCAGCGCGGTGCCCCACACGCCTCATGGCACGCTCGGGCTGCTCGGCCTGGCTGCGTGTGCCACAGCCTCGTGTGCCACGGCTTCGTGTGCCACGGCTTCGTGTGCCACGGCTTCGTGTGCCACAGCTTCGTGTGCCACAGCTTCGTGTGCCGCAGCCCCGTATGCCACGGCCCCATGTGCCCTGCACTGCAGCGCTCATATCAGGCAGCCCGCCGTGAGAGTTTTATTATAAGAGTGTCCTGTTTCCTCTTCCCGGTGGAAGAGATGGAAGGACAAGGAAAGAGGAGAAAACAGTGGTGCGGTGCCAGGAGGGACTTGGAGAAATTACCTTCCTGCGAGATTGAGGCAGGGCAAGGCTGCCTGGCAGAGGTTTGTCTGAAGCAGATGGTTTCTGTACAGGGCACAGAGATACACTGGGATCTGACAGCCACCTTGGATAGCCCAGGAGAGGGACTGCCTCTGAGGGGAATCTCTTCTCCTTGCAGCCCTGGATGAGCTGAACCCCACTTGCTCTTGCACAGAATCCCTCAATGCCAGCCAGGCTGTGCTGAAAGTTCCCACCATCCTGCTGGTGAGCCCTTCCCACAAGGATTGGCACATCACCTCTGTATCAGGGCCCAAACAATGCCAGTGTGCCACAATGGGAACTGGTGACACCTCCAGAGTACCATCTGCTGTCCCCAGAACTCATTTAATCCCTTTTCTACTCCTTTCCACACAAACAGTTTTTAGCACCCTTCCCACAAGGACAGAGCTGATCCTGAGGTTTTCCCTCCCCTATTTGTTCTCAGCTTTGCCTCATCTAACCAAGTCCTCCTCTGTCAGTGTGTTTGGACACTGCTACTAATTTCTAGCACATTTCCTTGCTCTCTTGCCACAGCTGGTCTGGAAGTGGGGTCCACACTCCCCCAAGGTGGGCTTGCATCAGGAGACAAGACTTTTCCCAACTTTTGCAGACTCTGCCTGCCTGGCAAGCCTAGCACTGCGGCTCCATAGGGAGCTTTGCAAGACCAAAAAAAGGACCTCTCTTTTTGCCACTCGTGAGGGATTGTTCGGTTTTTCGCAGTCCGTTCATCCTGTTAAACGGCACTTAAAGAAAACAAAAACCAGTTCCAAAAATAAAGCCTTGCGACAGATGGGACCATTCAGTGCATTTTTTTGATTACATCTCCCACTTGTTGGCCTGCCTCCCTCACACCTCGTTGAGCCTCGGGAGCTGTGTCCCACCTGGAGCTGTATGGACCTGCAGGTGAAACGCATTAACTGGGTGCTTCCGCTAATGGGCTCATCAGCAGAGCAATTAGCACTGCTTCAGAGGGGCCTGCAGTTACTGTTTCTGGCCTGGAGTTATTGTTAATGGCCACTGCATCCCAAAGCTGGCACAGAGCAAAGGGGAAATGCTGCAAAGATGAGTCACGTACCTGGTCCATCATTGGGAGTCCTGTACTGGGACTGCCCAGACCTGACCACCTGCGTCCTGCCTCGCCAGGGCACAGGGAGTATCAAGGGAATGGAGGGAATCAGGGAAAGCCAGCAGTGACAGGGAGCCCTTTGTTTCTGTGTCCTCTGACTCTGGCATCACTGTCCTGTCACTGCAACACCATCACGCACCTCCAGCTGTCCTGGAAACCAGGGATGTCCAGGGTACCAAGCCTGGGTGACCTGCCACCAAGCACCTGGGGGAGAGATGTGCCCCCACATTTAGCCCTGGCAAGAAGGCCCCCTCAAGGCCAGCTCCTCACCCACCTCAGGGTGCTGGAGAAGGATGCACCTCAGGCCCTTTACCATGCCCTGGCTGCCAGGCATGACCAAAGGTGGCTCCAGGCCAGGGGTGTGTGTGCCTTCCGACCAGGGCTCAGGGTGTGTGTGTCTCCCAGCCTGGCACCAGCGGAGGAGGACAAGTGCAAACACTGTGGCCAGTGGGGCAGGAGAAGGTTATCTGGGGCCCGGCAGTGGAAAAACTCTCGGTGTGTGACTAAGGCACAACAGCGCCAGGTGTGGGTCCAGGCAGGGCAAGCGAGCCGGGAGTTATCGCTTCCCCGTGGGTTCAGGTGCCTGAAGCCAAATGTTTCCTAAGGGTGCGGTGACAGCCACAGCCCCGTTATCGTGGCACCTGGCCCACCCCAAGCAGCATGGACACAGGGACTGGTTGCTGGACCTTCTCCCCATGGCAGGGATGGGACACTTGCCACTGCTTCTCCAATGGGAGACTCGAGCCCTGGGAGCATACTTCAGCAGGGGCACCTTGGTCCTGGGAACCCAAGCTCCAACCTCATGGTGAGGAATGGTCTGTGTCAGCCTGTCCAAACTATCCTCCCGCCCTGGAGCACCCAGGCTGCATCCTACCCACAGCACTTTTGTCCCCTCCCCAGCTCCATGCTGTCCCCATGGACCACAGCATCCTGAAGGTTAAGCCCTGCCTAAGGAACCCTCAGATCTGCAACACTCCTCCCTATGGACCAACAATGCCAGACCAGCTGTGGGATCTGTTGACTGTAGCATGGGGGAATCCTCATGAGCTCGGTCATCCCCAGACAACAGAAACCCACTCAAGCTTCTCTTTCAGCTCCAGCTCTGGAGACCCCAGGGCCCTCCTCCAACTGGCAGATGCCAGGTCACACTGTGGCCATGACTCACACTTCTGCTGGGAGGTGTTTCTCCATACCTTACTCCTTCCTTTACTCCCTTGCCTCCTCATTAGACCAGGTCAGCTGTACCCCAAAACCACGGGGCTTAAGAGTTACAGAGGTTTCAGGGGCAGCTGCAGTTTCCAGGGTCCTTTTTGACAGGGAGTGAGCAAGGTGGAAAAGGAAGGGAGTGAGACATGGCCTAGCTTAGTATTCTGCAGGTGCACACACCACAGGGATCGCACCCCAGCCGTGCCTCCCTCAGTGCTGCCAAAGGTGTTTTCTTGCTGCCCTCATCAATTTGCAGGGCAGGTTTTGCTGGGGAGAGGACTGGCCTCCCTTCTCCAATGGAGAGTGTGTCCTGGCCCAGGCAATTGGAAGAGAGTGTTTTTTATTAACAACAAATTAACCGTAATTGTCTTTTCCACTACAGCCACTCCTCCCCAGCCATGCTGGTCCATTTGACTGCCATGTCCCATTATGTGCCTGAAGGGAGTGCCTTGCCCCAGGCACTGGGGAGCAAACCCAGAATAGCTCCGTTTGGAGGAGCCAAAGCACCTTCCCCTGCTCTTGCCTCCCTGTGGAAGCAGTGGCAGCAGAGCCGGACCTCACTCCTGCCCTGGCACAGCAGTGATGAAAGGCGAGAAATAACTGGTTTGTGCTCTGATCTCAGAGCTGAACCTCAAAACAGCCGTGAACTGTCACTCCAGCTCCCAGGATGCTTAGGGAGGACAGGACAGCAAAGCCAGCCTTTCCAGTGGGACAGGATGGTTGGAGAAATTCATCGTTCCCCTGGAAATAAAAATAATAATCATAATAAAAACACAAAGCCAGAGATTACTTATACGCACACAAACAGGCAGGCACGCACTCTCCCCATCTGGCTTTGCCAGCTTGACTCATCGCTAATTCAAACAGCCCACACCTTTCCCTCTCCCTCCATGTGACATTTTGAACAAGTTTCCAAGGAAGAGGCAGAAGTTTTGCCCCAGCTATCCCCTGGCATTGTAGCCTTGTCCTCAGGTTCTGGTGGTCCCAGGAACAAGATATCCCCAGCATCTCATCCCAGGCCACATGTGTCCCAGCACAGTCACCCCTGCACAAGCATCTCTCAGAAAGTGGGACAAGCAGAGGGTGGAGGCAGCACAGTGAAAAGGACAAGTGATTGAGCCTGATGGATCTGTGATACCTGTGGATGCAGCCCCACGGTCATGATCTCAGGCCTACAGGCAGAACATGATGTCCCAAACTGCTGCCACCCTACCTGGAATTACCCATGCTTTTGTACCTGCTCAAGGGCAGACCACAAGGGTGGGTGCTGGTCCCAGAACAAATAGCTCCACACCAAAATATTATCCACTCCTCAGGGGAACATCAGATGTGCTCTGCCATTCCCATCTAAGCAGGAAAGAGTGGGATCAGCCCATCTACATCCCACTTCCACTTACAGGGCAAGCAGCCCCAGGGCACCCTCCAGCCCTGACCAGCCACTGGGAATTGCAGAGATGAGCACAGGAGGAAGGAGCCACTGCCACCACCACCCTGTGCCAGGGCATCATAGAGCTTGTGTGCTCCCTGCACTGCCAGCATGGTGTCAGGTCTGGACAAGTTCCTGCCTTCAGAGGGATTCGTGCATCACAGGTAATCAGCTGTGGGAGGGAGGGAGCCAGACCTGCTTGCTGAGCTCCAGGACCTGGCAGCATGCTTGTGCTGAGTCACCACCTATTAACGCAGGGAAACCTCAGCACCTGAACCCCGCCAAGCTGCCAGGCCATCCCCAGGAGGACAGCAGAGACAGCACCCGGGACCAGGCAGCTGACACCAATTTCCCTCCTGGTTGTGACCGCAAGGCCAGTACTGCAGAGCTTCCACTGTGAGGCACAGCGGGACAGGACTGCTCAGGAAGAATTCAGGACCAGCAAGGCTCTCAGTTGAGTTTCGGCTGCCATTCTCCTTGGAGATGACTCACAGCAGGACCAGTCACACCATCCCAGTGCCGCAATTACCCCATCTGCAGATTAGGGAAACTGAGGCACAGGGAAGTGGGGTGACTCAAGAGCTGTTGCACAGGAGATGCTACTCAGATGCCGAGGCTTGGGCGTTCCCCATCGATCCTCCGCAGCTAACTTAAGCAGAAATGAACATCGATGTAAATATTTACTGACAAACAAGCTCAGCCTCACCCTCTCCTCTTAGAAGAAACCTTTAAAGTAAACTCTCCTGGCTCTTTCATGTTTACATCTTGTTTATTTATTATACAGAAGATCACAATATTTCAACAGTTTGCATATAAAGAAAAGTAACATTTCAGAGTGCAAGAGACCTAACGTGCCCAAGCAGAGAAATGTTAATTAACAATATACACAGACGGGAACAGTGCACTTCCCAAAGCTGAGACTCATCTGTATTCCCAGCTGGAAGAAAATATATTAAAAAAAAACCAGAAACATTATATATTACTGCTTTGTTTAATTTACAACTTGCTTTGCAGAAGCTGCACATAAAAAGACTCATTTTCTTTTGAGCTTTCTTATTTGTCCCCCCTCTACAAAAATTTCAAGTATAGCAGAGACCTGGGCATTCATAGCTGGACTCACTGTCCTTTACATACTAAATTTTAAAAAGCAGCATGGGGAAGGGCAGCTGCAGCAGTACCTGGTGTCATCCTGAGGGGAAGAACACGACAAAATAAAGCAGACAAGAGCCAGAAGAGGCATTTTGACTCTTGAGTGGAAAACTGGGAATGGCCAGGGCTGGACTGCCCAGTGGGGTCCCAGGCTGGTGACAGGAGCATCCCTGTCCTCTGTGCAAGGTGTTGCTGTGCTGCCAAACCTTTATAGCCACGAGCCAGTAAAATCCCACCCTCGCCCCATCCACTCTGGGCTTTGGGTCAGGAGGTTTGTTCTGATGATCACAACCGAGACAACCAGCAACCTATTTCCCAGCACCACAACCAACATACCCAACTGGCATGGCTCTCCAGCCAAAAAGCAGCCAGAGTCAGCCACCATAGCCCCTAGAGCCAGGGGTGTGCCAGAATCTGGGTGAGTAAGGTTAAGCTGATGCCAAATACAAGCCAGAAGTTCTGGGTACAGATCCCTTATGCACCAGCAGCTCCCCCACTCACTGGGTACCTGGCTGCGGGGAACCCACCAGACATGGGGAGCTGAGTGGTGATGTCTGGGCACATGTTTCTTGCAGTTTTGCTCCCCACATACATCCCCAAAGCAGCTCTTCCCCACCACTTGGCTGGGCCAGCTCTCACAGGAACAGGAGGAGAAAACTAGTTATCAACTACAAGCGGACAGGGCTGGGTGGCCAGGCTGCTCCCCACTGCCATCCCTGGCCCGACACTATTTACACCGTGAGCTGGCTTCGTGGACATCGAGTCCGGCCGCAGCCACTGCTCACATGTGCCGCTTCATGTGGAGAGCGAGGTGGTCGGAGCGAGAGAAAGCCCGCTCGCAGAGGTGGCACTGGAACGGCCGGTGCCCTGTGTGCTTGCGGTAGTGGCGGGTCAGCTCATCGGAGCGGGCAAATTTCCAGCCACATCCTTCCCAGGTGCAGTGGTAGGGCTTCTCGCCTGCAGAGGAGAGGGGGTGTCAGTGGGCTTGTAGGTTCACACCCTCCCTATGCCTTCAGTTCTGTGCTACCCTGTCCAGCACCTCCTTTTCAAGGATAGGAGGTGCATTGCGCATCTCTGCCTGCCCAACTTTCCCCTTCTATCCCCCATTTTTCTGCCCTTCCCCATATGCAAAGATCTGTTTTCTGGGCATCCCTGCCCCATATTACAGCATCCCTCCTATGTGCTCCTGCTTCACTTTAAACTGGGTGGTCCCCTGCTCATCCCTGCTGTGGGATGTGCCCTGTCCCAGCTCGGCCAGAGGCACTCACCATACAACCCCCAAGTCTGTCTCCCCATCCTATTTGTCCCTAGCCCAAGTGGAGGGTTTCTCCATGTCCCTAACTCCTACCACCTCAGGCTCCCCCGGGCCCCAAAACCAGTAACTGGAGGTGCCACAAGAGTGGTCTCGCTACATGCCTAGGTCCTTGTGTGTCCCTGCCCAGCCCCACCACGGGGGTCCTTCTGAGCACTTCGGGGGCCATCCCCGTTGCCCTCTGCCCTACACGCAGAACGCCTCCACGCGGGCTATCTCTGGGTGCCCTCATACAGCCCCACCACGGCGACCCACCGTGCACTCCCCATACCGCAGGGATCTTCCTCACGCGACACACGCCCCCTCGTCCCCACCCGTGTCACCTCTCGCGACGCCCCTTCACGCCCCCGAACCACGCTCGCGGGCCTCACCACGTACCGCGGCACCCCCACCCGGGACCCTGTGCGTGCCCCCGGCCCGGCGCGCCCTTACCCGTGTGGGTCCGCATGTGCGCCTTGAGGTGGGAGCTCTTGGTGTAGGTCTTGCCGCAGCCCGGGTATTCACAGTTGTGCGTGGCCGTTCGCTTGCGCGCCCACGAGCGGCGGCCGCGCTTGGGCTTGCAGTCCTCGGGGGGAGCCCCGGTCGGGAAGTACTCCAGCACCGGGGAGTTGGGCGGCGTGACCAGCAGCCCGGGCAGCCCCGCCGGGCCCGGGCCCGGCGCCTTCAGGGGCTCCCTGAAAACACTGAAATGTCCATGAAACTGCGGTGGCGGCTGGGGGGCGAAGTGGGGCGCATAGCGGTGCGGGGCCACGGCGTAGTGGGGCGGCAGGTCGGCCAAGAGGTGGGGATCGGCGCCAGGCAGCGACTCCTCAGGGGGCCCCAAGCGGCCGTGGGGGAAGCCCGGGTAGGGCAGCGGCGGCCCCTGCACCGGTCCCGGCCCGGGGCCCGGCGCCACGCGTGGCTTGTGCTCGCTGCCGCCCGGTCCCAGGTACTCGGCGGCAGACATCCCCAGCATGCAGGCGCGCTCCTCCGGCTGCTCCTTCTTGATGCGGGGCCCGAAGGACTGCGCGGGGTCCAGGGGCAGCGGGCGGGCTAGGGCCGGGTGGAGGGGCGGGTGGTGATGGGGGTGAGGGTGGTGGTGGGGGCCGCCGGGCACCCGCAGCTCCGTGTACTCCCTCCGCTGTAGGTCGTAGTGGCCGGGCAGGTCCGGGGTGAGCAGCTCAGCCACGTAGCTGTGGCCCTGGCCGTCGGGGTAAGGCGCCGGGAACTTGCCCGGCGTGGAGTACGAGCCGTCGCTGTCGTAGGTGGTGCCACAGCTCTCGGGGGTCTCGGGCAGGGGGTAATTGGGGCCGGTCGGCCCCTGCCCGCCACTGCTGGTGTGCGCCAGGATGAAGTCCAAGTCCACGAACTTGCCCAAGTCGTCTTCTTCCCGCTTGACGGCAGCGGGGCCATCCTGCTGTAGCATCCTCTGCGGGAAAACGAAGCGTCAGGATCGGCGGGAAGACGCCGATCGGCAGCACCCACCGCCCCAGCACCGCGGCCCGCGCCTCCCGCTCGGGGCGGTGGCTCCCCCCAACCCGTCCGACGGGTCGGCACCACTCCGGCTGCGCTGCGCCGCCCTCGGGGCGCCCTCCGACGGCGAGAAGGCGGCCCGCCCCCCACTCCCCGGCCGGGCTGAGCCCCAGCCCGGAACGCTCCGTCCCGTACCCACCTTGCCACCCTCTACCCCGGTACCAGGTGCTTACGTGGAGCATGTCGGCGGGCCGCTCCTCTAGCGGCATCAAGTTGGCGAAAGTGGAGATAGAGGGCAGGGCGCTCTCGTCCACGGCCGCCGCCATGGCGAGCCGGGCCGAGGCAGCGGGGCCGGGGCGGGCAGGGGGAGCGCGGTGCGCGGAGCCCGGCACCGCTCCGCTCCCCGCGGCAGCAGCGCTGCTCTGCGCCGCCCCGCGCCCCTAAGCTGTTAACAGCATGGCTGCGCCCCCATTGGTCCGGCCCGCATTGATATTCACCGCCGCCGCTTGCCATTGGCTCTGTTGTATCCGGAGGCACGCCCCCTCCGGCGGGGCTGCCCCGGCGGGCGGGCGGGGGTCGGCGGTTGCCGCTGCCCCGAGCGCGCTCGGAGCCCGAGCGGGACCGGAGAGGACGGGACAGAGCGGCGGGGTCTCCGCGTCCCGTTTTGCTCTGCTCCGTGGAACTACGCCACGGGGCAGAACAGACAAGGGTGCTGTTGTGGATCGCGGAGGCCGGAATCCTGCCCGCGCCCTGAACGGGGCAGCGGCGCCCTTAAGGCTTGCCCACCACACGGACGAGCGGGGAGCGGGGCTGTAGGTGGCAGAGCCGGAGATCCCCCGCCACCCTGTCCCGAGTGGGGCAGGGGCAATGACTCTGTCACACGCACCCTGTGTGAACGCAGATACCGGAGAGATTTGGCTCAGGGGTACAGGTAAAAGCATTTCAGACACTGTGCCGGGCACTACACTCGCCACGGGGGCCACCGAGCGCATCAGCGAGCGAAGGTGCAGTCCCCAAAAGGGGTGCTTGTACCACCATAGGAGACGAGCCAGATAGCCGAGCCCTGGTGCCCCCACACCCCCACGCGATTCGTTTCATGTAAGCGCACCCGTGAAGCCGCGTCCTCCCGCGCCGCTGCTGCCGGTGAGGCAATCAGCGGCACAGAGCGTACCAGCTCGCATCTGGCTGCGTGCAGGGTGCGTGTGCGAGCCGAGATAACCGCTCGTCAACCCTGTAGGGGGCTGGCACCCTGCCGGCATCGCCTCATCTCGCCCCACAGCCCCCACGACGCGTTTGTCTGCCCTCCCCTAGGGACCACTGCTGTAGCTGTCTCCGACTGCTCTGACACAGGGGGGCATGGGCCGGCTGTCCCGCCATGCCCACCCTGAGCAGCCCCTGGGACAGAGCTGTCCTGAGGGCTTCCCATAGCAGGGGACACAAGGAGAGCAGGTTATCCTACTTTGCAGGAGACACTCAAGTCATCCACCCTATTCTGGATCGTTGGATGATGGCACAGAGACTCAGGACACTGGGCAGGCCTCCCCAGGGGCTCTCTGCCTCCCTGTCCGGCTCACAGCAAGACCTTCTCCATTTGGCCCCCATCCAACCAGTACCAGGAATGGCCCTGCTGCTGTTGTGCTCAAGAAGCAATGTCCCTTATCTCTTGGAGCCTGTCTCCCTGCTTTCTGGAGCTGTCCATCTCCAGATACCTTTCTAAGAACTGAGGCTGCTGCCTGCTCTATTCAGAAGCAAGAAGTCAATTTAAAAAAAAACAAATATAAACACCAAAGGTGAGGTGTGCACACACACCACACGCACATGCCGCTTCTGAATCCAAAGCTACTCTACCAGTTGCTTTCATCACCGCGCTTTAATTATAAGGGTGGAGCATTGCAATAAATTATTTCAGTAATCCAGTGGAACAACAACAATTCAGATCTTCCCCCTTTTACCAAGAATCCCTGCCCTGGTTTCCAGCGCACATGTTGAGCTGCTGCCTGGGCCCCATCTGCTTGTCTGCTGGTGAGGCAGCAGGTTTATTAATGGCACCTATTGGGTCAAAATACTTGGGCTCCAAAGTCCTTCCCCAGAAAAAGTCCCCTCCAAAGTGGCAAAGAAGCATGTGGGCATTACTTGAAATTACTTTTAGCTTTCCTGCTAGAGTAGTTCATTAAAGTAACCAGTTAATCCCATTACTTGTTTCTTGGCCAAATTATAATTAATAGCAAGGCAGCTCCTGCCCCAAACTTTTACAGATAAGTGAGAGAAGATGCCATAGGAGACAAACACTAATTCCTCTTGGTTTTCCCCTTTTTCAGGCAGTTTTGGCATTTGCACCCATGCTGACTTATTTTGAGAGGCGTCACCAGCAGATCAGCTTAATTTTTACAGCCAATATTTCTTGCAAATGTGGGATATTTCCCAGGAAACTCTTTTTACTGATGCTCTGGTGGGAGGGCTGGCGTGGCGGGGAGCGGCAGCATGCCAGGCACCGCAGAGACACAAGCAGTGCCAGCGCTGAGTGTGCAGGGAGCCAGGAGTGTGTCATGGGCAGGGTTTTCCTGCTGTGAGCCAGGGGGTGGGCACAGGGGGTCCCTGCCACAGCCTTGTCAGCTCCTTGACCACAGAAGCCCCCTCTGAGGTGGGTGGGAGGCAAGCAGGAGCAGATGGGGCATGCAGAGCCCACTGTTGACAGAAGCCCGTTTAGGAAACGTGGGTTATCTCCCGTGCCACTACCGCAGACTGTAAAGTCACTGGCATCCCAAGAGATCAAACAGCAGCCAGGCAAGAGAGCAAACAGAAAGTGGGAAGGGCCACCCACCCAGGTGATGGATAAAGAGGAAAGGGTTAATGGTTATCCTTGCTTTTGGCACATCTGGCAGCAGAGGAATGAGGAGCATGGCTTGCCCAGCATGGTGTGCCAGAGGTGGCCCCATCAAAACAGCATTGTCAGCCCTGTCAACACTTCCACAGTGCCATGGCAGCCTCTCCAATGGCACACAGCATGGGTGGGATGGGCAGGGGGACAATGCCCTGTGGCACTGCCAGAGGTGGAATTGGTGCCCAGGTTGGTCAACAAGGCTCCCAGGAGACCCAGAGGGGTCCCCTTCCCCACAAAACATTGGGAACTGAAAAACATCTGTGCTGCATCCTTTTCTGTGCTGTCACCTGGAGCTGGGAGACTGGAGTAAACCCAAGGACTCTCCTTCAGAGCATCTCCAGTGCCCCCTCTCCAACACCACCTACAGCATCACAGCCCAGAGAGCTTCTGCTTCAGTGGAAGGCAAAACCCAAGTCCCAAAAGCTCCACAGGGGATCCCATGAGAGGTGCCAAGGAGATCCACACTGCAGACTCTAAACAACTGTGACACTCTAGGGCTATCTCCCTGAGAGCAGAAAATTAATCTTGCTGGGTTTTACTCTCTGTCTTCCCCTCTACGTGGTACTGGCCTGCCTAGAGAAGGGTCCAGGAGCCTCCAGACCTGCCTGTACCCCCAAAGCCCCCTTCCCCTCCTGAAAAGAAAAGAGGAACTGAAAATGAAATTAAAGCATAATTCAATCCGGAGCGGGTCCAGAGTAAAGTCATCTGCTCTTATCGTGTGCTGGCAGGCTCTTCCCGCTCCGCAACAAACACAATGTTATCAGGGCACAGAGGGCAGATTCGTTTGCACCGGCCCAGCAAGCTGCTGTGTCCGCCTTGCCTACCCGGGGGTCTGCGGAGCACCGGGATGCACGGCCAAGGACCGGGGCTGCCAGGGGCTCGGGGAGACCCGAGGCAGCACCCCGGCAGCACCGACGGGGAGCTCAGTCCCAGGACAGGGTGCTTCGGCTGGAGGCCATATCCAGCCTCCTTGTACAGCTCTCTGGCCAGAGGAGACGGGTCAGGCTGCTCCCAGTGAATGTCAGCACAGAATAAAGGCTAGAGGGAGAGGGTCTGCGAGAGATGTCTTTGCCTACGGGAATATACACAGCCTCATCTTCCATGGGTGCTGCCCAGCTGCTTGGCCAGGAGGCTGCCAAGCTGGCAGATCTTGGCATCCCACTCCCTGGCAAAGCAGCCCAGGGGCACCCCCAGACCCTTCACACAATCCCAGCCCCACTGCATCGCCTGGACCACATCCTGCTTTGATCTCTGCCTGCTGCCTGGCTGTGCCCTGGTGGCTGCGGGGCCAGTGCAGCCTTCTCTGTCCTTCTTTATATACCCCTGTTATTTTTAACTCTGCCTACGCAAATCCCGAATCCGGAATGAGCAGCGGCCGGGGGCCAAGGGGAAATGGACATGGTGCAAATTTCCTGCCCTTTTTACCTCTCTTCCTCTATAACATACAGCAACGTTTTTCCTCCACTTCTTAACTTTCACTGGTACAGGAAAGCTGAAAGATCCAGGCTCTGTATAGAGCCACAAGGTCCAGCACCACAGCAGACAGGGTATTCCACTCGGAAGGGACGTTGCACTCAGCATGGTGCCAGGCGATAGATGTCCCTGCCCGCAGCACACACCACAGCTCCATCAGCAGTGCGAAGTGCTGGAGGCACCTGGACAGCCCTCGCAGCAGCAGCCTCACGTGCAAACACGTGTGCTCACGTGCCAGCCCAGGGACCCATCCTTCCTTCCCCCTGCGTCGGCAAGAGCTCTGGCCCCAGCCACAGCAGCTGGGACTGGACCACAGCCATGGGAGCTGTTCCCTTTTGCCACTCACAAAAATGCTGCTCAAAACCCGTGACATCCCAGCAGCTCCAGGAGTAACAGCAGGAATTGCTGTTTTCCTTGTCAGCAGCAAGGAGGAGGAACACAAGATATTCTTCCAACATCTCTGGTTTAATCTTTAAAAAAAAGCCACAATACAGAGTTCCACAGTGAGTTGCACAGGGAGTTTTGCAGAGGATATCATGGTACGGCTGCAGTGTCCACGGGACGTGCATGTTAAAACCCTTCTCTCACATGCTGGAGATTAATAGCTGTACATCATGTAAAAGCAATTTATCTACAGAAGTTCAAAATGACCCAGGTATGCATCTCTGCCACTCTTCCAAGCAGTGTCCATCCCTCCTCCCAGGTATACCCTTAAGGTATTCAGTCTCCAATGAACCCAGATTCTCAGTGAGTGGGGAAAGCCTCCCTTGCCATGTAAATCAGGGAAAGTGTGGATGCTGAGGCCAGTACTGGTCAGACCTAATCCACTCAGATATACACCATTTCCCAGCCTGGAGAAAGCCTGGCTATCCCTGGAACCTGGGCACTGGTGTGGCTGCAGTATGCAAGCACTGCTGGGTCAGTGGGGGAACAATTTTCCAATGGGAGCTGTGGGATGGGGTTGAGTGAATGGTCTGCACCATGAGTCACTGGTACCCATGGGGACACAGCTCGGTGTGAGGCAGTGGGGGACAGCCAGGTGACAGCAGAACAAGCAGGGAGCTGGAGAACTCTGTGTGGAAACTGTTTTCCAGGTAACTTGGTTTTGTTA